TAAAAGATACCACAGAGTCTGACATCTGTTTCATATTTGGATATTTTATTAGAAAAAAAACATAGATGGTAATCTAACAACAAAGCTTCATGATAAACGTGATGACTTTAACTTTTCAATCGTCAACTTCCCTTAATTATGGAGCAATATACCCTTATCGCCTGCATACGGGGTTTATATCTCTCAGTTGATTCGATACGCTAGAGCATGCTCTACGTATGAACAATTTCTAAAACAAGGTAAGTTATTGACAAACAAATTGATGACACAAGAATATCATCAGTCCCGTTTAAAGTCATCATTTCGTAAGTTCTATGGTCGATACAATGACCTTGTTAGCAATACAGTCTTTCACTAAGTCAAATGCTGACTGACGTTTTCATACTAATTAATAGGCCATTATTTACACACTGAATTGTCGATGGATTTTTTCGTTATTCCCCGATCATGACAAGGAGCACACGGTGGGTGTTACCGGTCAGCGGGGATGCTCATTCCTCCATGGCACCTGATCCCACCTCTGATGTCTTAGAGGTCCGTGTTTGCTCTGTTCCTATTTTGTAATGTTTATTGGACTTTTGAGCTCGAGTAATGTTCGATATCTCCACATATTTCATAAAGCAAATATCAAATCACACACTCATAAATGTTCTATTTATCTCATACTTTTTTCCTTTAAAAAAAACTTTGAGAAATTCTACCCAAATCGAGGACGAGTAAATTGATGACGTCGCACTGTTGACGTTTATATCCCTAAAAAGTTATCTGTAGATACAAAATATGGAATTTTGGAATTATATCTGTTGTGTCTTTTAAAACAAATGTGGCAACCTGTTTGAGATTTATTTTAATACAAACTTTTGACTGGAAGTTGTACAGTGTTGTAAAGACCGAGGAATTATGAATCTTACTCTGAAATCATTCTGTGTACGGCGACAGTGCTAAGCTACTTGTAGATCCATGATAAGTTATATAGTATAATGTAAGAAAGTATTGTTGAAAGTGACTAGATTCTCCTGCATGGTCAAATGAATCTTGCACCAACAACTTTAATGCTAGACTTAACGTTTTTATATGAGAAGGATTGGGAGGATTATCGCAGTGACCAGTAAAAAATATAGAAATAAAACGACATATAAGTCTTTTCTTGTTTATAACGGACATTTTTGCTCATAAGCATTCATTTGATAACGCAAGAACTTTCACAAATACAAATTTCAATAAATTTACATCCTGAGGGGAAGGTTGTATCCAAACCGGACGTGCTATTGATAAAGCACAGTCGTTGATAAAGCATAGGTTTATTTCAAGGTTATTATCCACCACACGTATATATATATTATTTATAAAGGTGGGTTAAAAACCGGTTCTAACTAGTTTACTGGCGTTTACTGATTAATGAAAGAGGTGGTTTTCATAAGTTGATGTAAATATCAATATATAACTTCCTATTTATAATAGACCGTTTCATGATTGAAAACTGCTAGCAATTTAGCACTCAATCATATAAATGTCATGACTGTAAGCTTCCAGGTTTAAAATTTAAAAAAAAATAAAATAAAAAATAAATGACAGACGTGATCTGTAAAGACGACATGAAGTCAGTGAGGCATGTGAATAAATGCAAAACTTAGATGAGAAGATTAAGTAGATAAGGTTCTATATTTGAGCATGACAATGCGCTTTTAACCAGCTTCATGACAAAATTATGCAACATAATCTATATTTCTACAGTAATGTGTAAGGGCATTCACAAATTATGATTTATTTCATACTTCCTTTATGGGATTCAAACACGTTCCAAATTTACTTAAAATAATTCACATTATATGAGCTTAATTACAAGACGTTTAGATTTTTTTTTTTATCGCACTATGATTTTATTCGTATTTTCTAAATCTATCTATCTATCTATCTATCTATCTATCGAATGACAGAAACTAAATGAAGAAGTTAAAAGTATGTTTCTTTACAATGGAATTGCTCAAATATTAAAATCATTTTTGGATAAATATTATTTATCATTATTTCAGCATCTACAGACTGTTTCAACTAGGATAAGCAATTTTAAGTTTTTGGGTGTAAATTCTGTCCAAAAATAAGTTCAACTTAAGGTTTTAAAGTTTGATAGATTGAATATCTGTTTTTGCATTTCTTTGTATTATGCCAAAGATCTTTATAAGTATTATCTTTTGATTTCTAAACTACTTCTAACATGTCTAAAAAATATATAAACCAAAAATCGCGATATCAGCAGTTTACGTGATTTCCGGTATAGGATTATATAGAAAATGCCATCCTCCAGAATCTTGCATAGATGTGCTCCAAATTGTTTTGAGGAAACATCTCTAAGTAGCAATATTTCAATCATAAATTCTTGTGTAAAATTATATAGTTTTTAAGAACGTGTCCTTAACATATATTTAAGGTTGTTTTGTTTGTTTGTTTTTAAATTATTTAATACTTAGCCTTTAATGTTATTTAATACTTCAACAATTATTAATGTTAATAATCATCTATATTTAAAAGTAGCCTTTGGAGACAGGGTCTTCCAACACTTTGTTGGAATTCACATTATTGTTCCCATTTATAAGCAGATTTTGCTTTTTGTGCTCTCGTGAAACAGAATTTATTTTTTACTAAAAAAATTCTACATGGAAAGAAGTCTCTTGCTGTTACCATCAATTCAACAATTAGATCTGTTGACGACGTTTTATCTACCCCTCTATCTGAAGGTCGTCGATTGATAAACTTTTTTTTCATGTATGTGTATTTACGAAAAGAATAATGTTATATTCTAATATTAGATTTTAAAAATAATAATTCGTGTGGATGAAGATAAATTATTATTTGAAATGTATATTAACATTATTTACAGACACATAACTTAAGCTATTTGATGGATTATCCAATTTCACTTAATACATGCTGTAAATGCCTTTTATGCTATGTTAAAACTATAAACAATGTTCTTATTAATTTTTTTTATAAATCCATCTTCCACTATAATTACGAAGGAAAATGCTCTATCAATCAAAACCTTGACTATATCTGATCAATACTCTTCCGATACACACCCTCGCTAAGGTATGTAGGGCCATTTTAATGAACTGTTTACAAAGTAAACCACAGCTCAGCATTGTGCAATACTTAATCAATGTCTCATTAAAGGCAAGTCTCAATTGTCTTAGTCTTTCTTTGTTTCCAAGGAAAGATTCAGGAAACAATAATGCATATTGATGGTCGCCACACCTTTTGGTTTGTAAAGAACGTTCGATCAGAAATTTCGGTAACTTCTCGACTAGCTTGTCAATTTATGATTGAAGAATGTGTATAAAACAACCCTATTTTTCTTTGAAAATGCTTCAAAGAAATACAATGACGAAAAAACAGATATTTTGTCAATGCAAAAATTTCATCGCACTTCCGGTGATCAAATTTTAACACAGAAACGGAGAAATTGGTTAGAGCTGCATTGACATTCACATCAATACTAGAAGATTTAAAAGAATGTTTAGTAAAAGTTTACCCGAACATTTCATTTCCTGACTGAATTTTACTAATAAATTCCAAATATCGGTTTTAAAAAAACTATTGTTTCCACGATTTTTATGGTCAGTTTTCTGATAGAGAAAAATTTTACTCAGCCCGTGAAGTTTTGAAAATTATTAGATAACTTGAAAAAAAAACGCTATTTTAACTATCGAAATTATTTTACAATGATTAACATTAAAACATGAATCGTTATTTTCAATGAATATACGAAACACAGATAAATAAGCCAAAAAAAATTTATTTAGTTTGTACCTATAATATTGGCATAATGTAAGCAAACAGTCCTGAGTGACATTGTTTTCAATATTTCATACCAGGATGTTAAGCACGATGCATGTTAAAATCGACATTTGTGATTTAAGATGACGATGGATGGGATTCTTTCCATGTTAACAAGTCTCTGTAATGAGGAAATTGGGCCTTTGGTATTGATCTGATGATCGATAGACAATGCGCTTAAACAGCATTACACCGTGATCGTGGTCTGTGTATGAAATTCAAACAATAAAATCGATCTATAAATAACTGTCATTCTCACAGAAGATAGTTGACCTTTTTAGTTTAAAAAAAATAAAATTCATTTAGCTTCTAGAAATTATTTGAATTATCAGATTAAAAAAAACTATTTGAAATTTACAGGAAATTGATTAAAAAACGAAGAAAGTAAAGGGAGTAAGCTGATGAACATCTACAAGATTAGACTCATTATTAAAATCTTAGATTCATATCTCATTCATATCATTGATAAACAGAAACTAAGTTTTATATAACTGGCATGAATATAATTGTTATGATCAGTAATATAGTTCCATACTAACTTCATATCTATACTCATTAATACCGTTATAAAGCACAGGGACTTGAGAGGGATTGAGATGGTTGATTATTGATGTGAGATATTGATTCAGATAGAGATATGCAAGAGCTTTCTTTCAAAGAAAACAAAAAAGCAAACCTAAAACGTTTTACAAAGTCATACTTTTGCAATAAACTCTGAATTTACTGAATATTATTCCGAATTTAAAGATGAAAAGAACTTTTCCCAAACTGTTACTTTTTACCTATAGAATCAATATGATTTTGAGCTAGAGATATTTGTTCATATGTATGACAATAAAGATCTATACCGAGTGATCAGTCTCCCATAGTTAAGATTGCCGACAATGTCTGATTGAAAATTCATACATAACGAATTCAACCTCAAGGTGGAAATTTAATCATATGCTTGTTTCTTTCATGCCATCAACTGCTGATTTATTTTGTGGTCCCCGCCGACCAGGACAATGGTTTACACTTCGTATAGCGTCTCTCATTTAGCTGGAATTGTGCACATCAAATTAAAATAGGCGGTGCTTGTGTCTCATAAATATTAATTGCCATCTTTTGATAATATATAAATAGAAGAATTGTCTTGATTATCAACATATCTTTCTTACATCTCTTCAGAGAAAGAAGTGCTCCTTTGCAGAGGACAAATCTTGATACATCTGTCAATCTTTATATTGGAAATTTGAATTTATCAAAATGGAATGTGATAAAGCTCGAGCTCAATCTGTCCTGCTTTTCAACTCTGTTCACCAGGGGCATGTAAACGTTATCAGAAAGCTACTGAAAGCAGGAACAAATCCAAATGTCTTTGATGGGAATGGGGAACCTCTTATCTTTGTTCCAGTTGTTAATGGAGATTATGATACTCTCGAAGTACTTTTGGAGAGTGGTACGTTATTTTTCTACTCATTTTTAATACAACCAGGTAAAATTATTATTTTATTAAAAATTTTGAACTCAATAAAGGGTTAATCTAAATTTGGCTGGGTTTTTTTTTTAGATGTTTGTGACATCAATCTCAAAAGTTTAGATTCTGCAACCTCAGCTTTGACAACAGCCGTGGGATTAGATGATCTCGAAATGGTGAAGTTTCTCATCAAAGCAGGAGCCAATGTTGATTGCATTGATGAGTCTGGGAAAACTCCTCTCCTCCTAGCGCTTCAAGAGGGAAAATTCAGGATTGCCCAGTATCTCATGAAACAAGGCAGCAATGTTAATATTGTTGATGGACTTGGTCAATCAGCATTATTCTTGATTGCCAATGGAGGCAATAATGATTGTTTGAAGACAGTAAAGAAGCTTATGAAATGTGGTAAGTAACATTTTTTTGTTCGGTTAAATATCATACATAGAATGGTATGAATTTGTTGAAGTCAAAAATTTGTTAAAGTATAATGTAAGTTGTCTCTTAATTAACATGTCATTATATTTATAGGGTATTTCCTCGAGAAAGATTCAGCGTGGATTTCCCCTGATGAATTGGACTTGGAGAAATTCCAAACTGCATCCAAAGTTAACAAACTTTTGAAGAAATTTGCAGCAAAAATGCTGTCTTTCCCCTCTATCCAGAGTTCTATGAAACTTTGTAACTCTGCAACCTGAACAGACGCAGCTGACACACCGGCACTGCAATCTCAATGCAATGCAAGAATACACGGGCCGCAACATTGGAAAAAATGTCTCCAAGTTCAGTCTTTGTACTGTATGGAAGACGCGGTGACCAAAATAAGCTATGCTGCATTATGAAGATGTTAACGCTTTCGCAACAAAATAGTGTTCAACGAGTTGGGAAAAGAACTGTAGTTGAACTCTGATTCACCCATGACATTTTGTCTAATGATCAAGGATAAACCTACAGTTCATTTACATGTATATGCATTGCTTTTGGTGAACATTAAAACATATTTTATGATTTTCTTTTGATTTTTCTGTCTCTTTTGACGAATGGCGGAAGCATATAAAAGGTTTGCTGATTCGTAATAAATATAACATTTACGTTCTTAGTTCAGAAAAGAGAAATTTTATTCTGATATACTGAAATTCGACGAAAAGATACCAAGAACATTTTAGACTTTTAAAAGGAAAGAGGTAAAGATAACAAATTGTGATCAATTTTATAAATCCTGTAAAAACACTAAATGAACAGGGCAAAAACACGGACCTCCAAACCTAAGAACGATAGAGGTAGGAACGAGATATCACCCTCGTTAGAGAGCTATCTAGTATTACTTGGATATTTTTATTCCGCTCTTTTCAACCAAGTTGAAAGTAAACTTTAAGCCGAAGCAGTAGGTTTGAATTGTCAGAAGTTAAAAGTTCTTCAGGACTTTTTAGTAGCCACTTGAACCTCGATCCGCTTTCTACAAATAGTTAAATACGAGCATACCAATGCAGAAAGCATGGAAGTCAAATATATTAACATACTAATGCAAAAAAGCAAAGAAAAATATGTCAGCATACTAATACAGAAAGCAAAGAAGTCAAATATGTAAGCATACTGATGCAGAAAGCATCAAAATTTTTAAAAAACTTACGTTTGGAATTGTAAAGAAAGAAAACATCATGGTCTTCTATAAAGGTGTGGATTAGTACTTATAATGTAAATGTGCTTTCTGAGATCCGACGAGTATTTTATATAAAGATTATACATATAACTATAATATGTCAGGAGATGAAATTAGTCCAGTGGTGCATATAACACCTATATGTAAGTCCTCGGTTGAGCAGAGTTTGCATACTGCTGCAGGAAACATCAACTGAAAATTTGTAAAACTTGCATAAAAACAGAATCAGATCAAATTTGCTATGAAGGTTTGTCTAAGTGTGAAAATTGTAATTATATTTATAATCTATTTGTTTAATTTTTCTTTGGTTTTCCTGAACAATTAAGTAATAAATGTTAATAATTATGTTAGGTCGATAAACTGTTGTTTATGAGGGAATTCTGCTAATCTATCTATAAATGACATTATAAGATAGAACAGAAAAGAAATAACGGGACTTTACGTACAGATTTTCATTTTCATCCAATGAAATGAATTACTAATTTCTTGATGAAAAAATGCCTCTGGTGTCATGAACTATCTAAGAAAGGACAAAATGGACAATAAACCAATTCCGGGAAAACTTTAAATGTCAATAACAGTATCATTACTCTGTGGTGAGATATTAAATGGGGAAAACGTTTATGATTCCACTAATTTGAAGGTCAAATAAGATAAACGATTTCGCTATTTTTAAGTTGAGATTTGAGGTGGATCCCCAGCGTTGAATTTTATTAATTAGGAAAAGTTTTTAAAAGATAAAAGGCTATCAGAAGACATATTTAAAGGCTAGCATACACTGAATTTAAAATGCTACTTATTTTACTATATCTTCCTTCGTATAAAAATATTAACATGTAAATTTTGCATATAGCTTCATCAAGTATTTCATAGTTTGCAACTTTACAAGGTTCATAAAGTTTGTTAAATATTTAATGTATATTTAATATAATAAAATAAAAATATTGATTTAATATGATAATATTTAAAATATTTCTGCATGCAAGAAGCATTGTTTCTTCAAATTACGAGGGCCGTTCAAAAATTACGCGGACTTGTTGCACAGAAAATATATGTGACGACATAATCAAGCAAAAAGTCACAAATAATATAAAAAATCTTTACATATATGGTCATTAAAATTTCATATCAAAATATTTTAAATTTGTATCAATTTCAGGTGATTTAACAGGACATATCATGAAGTCACGGCGCAGTAAAGCATTCAACGTCACGGACATTTTACAAAATGGGAGCTTTCATTTTCTCAATATTTTACCTTAGTATTTGATACTGTATAGATTGGGTTACCTTATCCACTCAGAATAAACATCCATATACCATTTCTGATCCAGCTTAAAAACTATAAAACTAGTATTGTGTGCTCTAGTTTGTGTTAAACTTCAAAACTGCAGATATTTCTGAAGTCATCTTTGAGGTCAGTCGATCTCAATCACATTCTTAACAGCCCAGATAAGTGTTTTGTCAATGAATTTCATCCATATTTCCAGAATTGCAATTTTGACTAAGGTCTAACAGTCTAAAATTCTTTCTTACATTTTGTAGAGATGTGCTGGTTTACTACATGTTTCATCAGGCTTATTTTGGGTCTCTGTTGGCGTTTTCCAAGCATGATTCATGATTTGATAAAAGTGCGCTGCTCCGTCAATACATGAGACGTCACTTTTGCCGTTGATTTTGTAGGGGTCACATCAGAGAAAAATTACAATATTTCTGTTAGTACTTCAAATATTACGTTAGAAATCTAGATACTTAATAATGCAACAATAAAAAAGAAATTTTAGAGAAAATTGTTGAATAATATCGTAAAATATGGAAAATAAATGAATAAAATTTTTGATACCGCATGTTTGTTTTTCAACATTATTGCCGTGCTCCGTACATCACCATCAGCAGTATCAAAACAGGAATAATTTTATGAGATATTAAATAAAATAAAAAAAATACCAAGAATTTATTGGAATCTTTAAGAAATATGTTCCTGTGAAGTTTCAATTCTATATGACGTCTGTAAGAGTAAATAATAGCAGAGTCCGCGTAATTTTTGAACGGCCCTCGTAGTACCGTCGAGGATATATTTGATTAGCGAAGTAGTTAAAGTCTCCGACCTTTTTTTATCTAAACAAAATAGAAGTTGAAAAATGAGGTGATTAGGCTTGGAAGAATATAAATATCAGTCCTCTCCCTCAGGTCAAGCCCTCAATACAGGGGTTCCGATTCAGCTTGAACTTGACCACAAATCATTGATAAAAATGTTATCCCTCTTTTGAACAGTCATTAAACTTACTTTACTGAAATAAGACCAAGCTTTTTATCTGCAGAAGTATCACCGTATTTTTATTTTATTTACCCTTTGATAAAATATAACATACAGACACTTTTCTGGACACAGGCTTAAATCTTTTATGCAGGTCTAATGTTCAGAACGTATGTTTATCTATCTAATAAGGAGTGTTTAAAAGTTCAGAAACCTTTCTGTACCAAGTTGTTACTTTATACGCTACTCAATCAGCCTATTTGGTATGTAATGTTGGCAAGGTGAATCTGGAAAGAGGGGCCAAGTTAAGGACAAAGTATACTGCATTACAATATGTTACAAAATGTTAGGCCATTATTTTGAATTGTCTACATTTTTTTCTGTTCACCCGATCATGGCAAGAAACACACTGCAGATGTGCCTGGTTGACAGGGGATGCTTATTTAGTCCTCCAAGGTACTTTTCCCAACCTCTGATTTTTAGAGGTCCGTGTCGCTCTGCTCATAATTACACTGTTTGAATTGACTTCTGACAATGATAATGCGTTATTTACAAGTAAAAAGATAGATCTCAACTTATTATACATATGAAGTATATAAAATAAAGTACGTATCTTAAATGCGTGTCCTTAATGTACGCTCGAGTCTTGCCAAGTATAAAATGTTTGCAAAAAATTATCAGTATGGTCATAATGGTGTTGAATGGTTGGTACTTGGAACCGTTTGAAATGAGAAAAATGTTGATACTGTAAGATCTCAGTCTTCTTTATTTTCATAAATTTGAGAATAAAAATTAGAGAATACTTATTTAATACCTATGAAAATAAAGAGATTCATTCATAAACAACTAGCAGGATCTGATGAGTGCATGATTCATTTTATCTAAAACAAACAATTTTTTGTATGAAAGAAGTCTTTTAAAAAAGTATACATGTATCTTTACTGTCGAGAGAAAAAGTCTCAGTCTTCAGATGCCAACATTCATTTCATACATTAGGTTCATAACTTAAGATTTTATACATGTTCTTTACATTAGGTTCTTTAATTAAACTTTTACTCATTTTAACTTTTGCGATTCTTTACTTGATATTTCTTAAATAAGTTTCTTTACTTGAAATAACTAAGAAGATTTTGTGTTGCTGTTAAAAGTAAAGAAACTTTCAATGCTTTCAATCGATTGTAAAATAAAAACATCTTTCAGACATGCTATGTGAACTTTATAGTAATGTATGCTTTTGTCATCTGGTGAAATCAAGCTTCTGAATTTTCACACCTTGAATAATGGTTATACAACATAAGATCACTAATTGTGGCAAAGAAATAAAAATAAGTTATTAATATACACATTACAATAATCATCGTTGATGATTAATTCCTAATATATGATCAAAGTAAAGAAATTCTTTTTCTTCTTCAGATATGCATTTAATTATGATCATGTTTAAACTTTATCATTAATTAAATCTCTCTCCCTAACCTTTTTAACGAGATAGAGAAATAAAGGAATGCAAGCTAATATAAAAACTTTCATATGATTATTAAAAAATTGAAAAAAGTTGAAGATATCGAACAGTGATTGATCTCATAAATCCTTTAATCAATACAAATTGTGAACAGGGCAAAAACACCGACTACTGGAAACATCAGAAATTGGATCAGATGTCGAGGTGGAATTAGCATCTCCTGTCCACCGGTCACACTTACCGTGAGACCTCTGTATTAGTCAGGTAAACGGAGTAAAGTAGTTAGAATCAGCATAAAAAAACAATGACATAACAATTGGTATGAATATATTTACAAACGAGAACCACTATAACCACCATATAATTTGCAAACTGCTGACATTAAACGAGATTGTTGAAAGTCTTGTAACATCAATATGTTTGTCAGCAACCTGCCTCGGTTTTAAAACGCCTTTGCGTATCGAATCAGCTGAGAGACAAAAACACCATATACAGGTGATGATGGAAGTTACATGTACTACATAAATAAGGGAAGATATTCGATTTTTGATTCTCGACCGACAGTTTAACCTTCATGAATTATAATCTTTATGTACATTATTTTTAAAGAATAACCACGCATTCTTATCAACTT